GCCTGCCAACCAGTAACTTGATCAGACAAACTCACTGTTGATCACTGAAGAATAAGTGAAAACTCTCCATGATAAAAACTGAGTAAATGAATTAATAACCAGTAATCCAGATTTACAGAGAATACCAGAGGAGATACTAGGGGCAAAACCTAAGAACAAACACAGGCAAGGAGCTAAAGTGGAAAATAAGCAGCAATAAGACAATTGTTAAGTGAAATAAGTCTATATGACCAAGAAAGCACCAATTGTAACAAAAATTTTTAAATGACAGAAAGTAAAATGCACCTTTAAAATAATAACTCTAAATATTAATGGTCTCAATTCCCCAACAAAAGGCACAGATTGAATGAAAGAAAAAGAATCATTTCTTTTTTTGCCTCCAAGAAATATACCTCAACATCAAAGATATACACCAACACAGTATGAAAAGAAGGGCAAAGGTATTTTGAGCATATATAATCAGGACACAAGCAGTAGTTCATATCCTAATGTCTAATAAAATAGATGTCAAACTAATAGTAATCAAATTGGATAAAGAAGGTCACTTCACGCTGATAAAGGGAACAATCCATCAAGAAGACATTGAAAATCTCAACACATATTCACAGAGGACAGGTCTGTCATCTAGAAAAATCAAATAGCTACTAGATATAAAGTCATAATAAGCAATTTCACTACTCCACTCATACCAGAGGACAGGTCATCCAGACAAAAAGTAAACAGAGAAACACTGGAATCAAATGGTACCACCAAGCCAATGAACTTAACAGACATCTATAGGAAATTTCACACAAAAACTACATAGTGAGCATACATTAAAAATGAGAATGTTCTCAAATGAATTATTTAATGATGCAGATCAAGGCACTAGAAAAGCAATATAAAAACAAACCCCAAAAGTAGTAGAAGGAAAGAAATAACTAAGGTCAAGACAGAAGTCAATGAAACAGAATTGTTTTAAAAGGCCAAGAAATGAAGAGTTGGTTCTTTGAAAGAAAAAAAAAAAAAGATTGTCAAACCATTAGACGAATTACCCAAAGCAGAAAGAAGACTCATTACGATTTTGTAAGAGATGCAGCCTAGCTCAGAAAATTGTTACTGAATATGTCAATGCTGATGTAAAGAAATGCTTCTTCTAAGTATGTGGTTATTAAATAAATAATTTTTAAAAAAGATTAAACATGTAAGAAGGACATTACAATGGATATCAATGAAATTCAGAAGTTTGTGGTAACATACATTAAAAAAAAACCTATATTCTTCAAAATTGGAAAATCTGAAAGAAATGGATAAATTTTACAATACTTATGACCTATCAAAGTTAAATAAAGATGAGATAAAGAATTTTTAAACAGACTTGTAATGACCAATGAGATTTAAGGAATAATAAAAATAAATCTCCTCACATTATCAATATATACAGAAAAGGCTTTTGATAAAATCCATATTCCTTGGTGCTGAAAACCCTTGAGAGTACTAGAGATGGTGTGAGCAGATCTTCCACAATTAGGGCTTTTTGACAACATATAGCCAATATCATGCTAAATGGAGAAAAACCGCAAAGTATTCCCATTAATATATATAAAACAAGACAAGGGCATTCACTTTCTCAGCTCCTATTTAATATAGTACTTGAAGGCTTAGCTAGAGCAGTAAGACAAGAGAAGGATGGGTAGGCAGGAGACATGGGATAAGAGAGGGTGACAAGGAGTGAATATGCTTACAATACATTGTACAAATACATGACATGTGCACAATGGAATCACAAAATGCAGACATGAAAGACAATACAGCCATGAGCATGTAAGAGTCTCCAGCGTGGTCTTCAGGAGTTAGTCAAGGGAATTCTGAGGGGCTCTGTGAGCCAGACCCTGCCTGAGGAAGACATGGTTCAACTCAAAGTCTTCCTGGACCTGCTTACTTGATTAACATAAGTTAAACTTTCATCAATAAACATTACCCCATTTCTTAATGTACAAGTGAGAAGGAGACAGAATCCTCCTATGACCAGAGCCATCACAGACCTAGGTTTGTTTTTCCTTAAATAGCCATTCTTTAGCTATTAATACAACATGGATGAGTTTAATTACATGATGAAGATAATGCAGTATATTCTAATGTCTATCGGGATCTTTCTTTTTTCCTTTCTTTTAGTCCTTCTTTAATTTCTCAACATTTTTAGTATTTACATTGGGGTATAGTATAAAATGAGACTGTAGATTTATTTCTCCAATTTTCTAATTCAATATGTTGAACAATTCATTTACTTAACATTGGAATGTGTTCTAGCCCTTTTCATTGCATGAAAAAAACACTGACCAAAACCAACTTGGGGTAGAAAGAATTTGTTTCATCTTACTTGTCTATGTCACAATCTGTCTTTGAGGGTAGTAAGGCAGGCACTGAGGGCTAGAAAGATGGAGGCAGGAATTGAAGCCTATGAAACACAGACCATGGAAGAATAATGCTTACCAGCTTGCTTCTCTGGCCTGTTCTTAGCTTGCTTTATTATAGATCCCAGAACTACCTGCCCAGGTGGGCACCAGCCACAGTAGTCTGGGCCCTTCGTTTCAATCAACAATCAAGAAAATGCTTCAGAGACATGGCCATAGGGCAGTATGATAGAGCACATTCCCCAATTGAGATTTCCTCTTCCCAGGTGTTGTCACCTGATCAACTGAAGACAATCATGACAGTAGGTTTAGAAATATTTGATGTTCATTCTTAGCTCATGATTATTTATACTGTACAGTTTATCTGGAAAATATTTTCTTTGCTATTTAGAGTATTTTGACTATCATGACTTTAAAATGTGTTTAATCTTTGGCTTGACAAATCTTTTATGCTTCTTTTTAATGACAATTTTAGATAATCTAGTTTGCTTATATGTCAGGTAACTTTTGGAATTATTTTGCCTGATTCAAGAAAAAGAAAAATATTACTAAAGTTTGTATGTGCTGTGTTAAAGCCATTCAGTAAACGTGAACTGAGATCTCACTGTTGTAGACACTGGGAGTACAGCAAAGAAATAGGGTACATATACCTGGGACCTGATAACTCTCATATGCTAGTTTGGGAGACAAAAATAGACAAAAAAAATTATTGCAGATGATAATATGTGCTATAAAGGAAATAAAACCAGGAAAGGGGAGAGCACACTAAGAGGAGACAAATAATATCTCCTCTCATTATGTGGAAAAGGAAGTGTTGAGGGAATTAGGAAGACTGTTTCTCAAAGGAAGTGATGCTTGAATTTGAACAAATGTTTGCTCTATAAATAAATTTGAGGTGTTATAGGCAAAATATTCAGTGGAAGACTGTAGACCATATCTTTTATTCAATTTATATCTGTCCATAAACCTCCTCTTTCCCACCTACCAAGTAGTTCTTGTAAAGCTTGGACATGGGTATGTAGTAGCATTTCACTGTGATGTCCTGATGACAGTGGTGGAGGGCAGAATCCATTACTGTTTTCTGTTCAGCATTGCTATTAGCAACATGTAGGAAAGGAGGCACGAACCTCTCTCTCTTTCTTTTTCTCTCTCTCTGTCTCTGTGTGTTTGTGTGCATGTGTGTGTCTCTGTCTCTGTTTCTCTGTCTGGGTCTCTGTTTCTCTCTGTGTGTATACCTGTATATGTCTATGTGTGTATCTTCTAGTGTGTGTGGTTGCATGTGTACTTGTATGCATGTCAAAATGAGTCAAGAACTTTGGTTGTCATTTCTCAAATGCCATCCAACTTTGTGTGTGTGTGTGTGATTGTGTGTGTGTGATTGTGTGATTGTGTGTGTGTGTTATTGTGTGATTGTGTGTGTGTGAGATTGTATGATTGTGTGTGTTTGTGTGTGTGTGTGTGTCATTGTGTGTGTGTGTGTGTGTGTGTGTGTGTGTGTGTGTGTGACTTGGAACTCTCCTGGCTGGCCAGTGAGCCCCAGGAATCCTTCTGTCTCTGCCTCCCCTGATTGTGTGATTGTGTGTGTGTGTGATTGTGTGATTGTGTGTGTGTTATTGTGTGATTGTGTGTGTGTGTGAGATTGTATGATTGTGTGTGTTTGTGTGTGTGTGTCATTTTGTGTGTGTGTGTGTGTGTGTGTGTGACTTGGACTCTCCTGGCTGGCCAGTGAGCCCCAGGAATCCTTCTGTCTCTGCCTCCCCAGCACTAGGGTTGGAGGCTCACACTATCATGCCCGAGTCTTTACATGGGTTCTGGAGATGAAACTCAGATCCTCATGTTTTCAAGGCAAGTACTTTACTGACTAAGCCTACCCCACAGTGCCAAGGCATGGATTTCTTAATGTTTATACATATCTAGTCCCTTTGTTGAATTTTTATGCCTTCTGAGTAGTTTACATGATTCTCACGGTTTCAAATGCTATCATAATACACAGAAACAGCAAAAATATTGCTGCTTCTTCTCTGATACTCATATTTCTGATGTTTTTCATAGTATATTTATCAGAATTCCTACAATGGTCCATAGGTGAGAGGAGACATCTATAATCTTTATTATAAGAAGATTCCTCTAAATTTCACTATCAAGAAAAATAGATGTATGTTCAATAAATACTTTAATATAAAAATACATGAGCGCCTACTCACAAATAATCCTTTAAATTCACTTAATTTGCCTCACATAAAATGGTATAAGGACAGTTGTTAACAACCATGTGAGTGCAAGAACACCCAGTGCTCTTAACCTCTGAGCTATCTCTCCAGCCACTAATTTACTTTTCTAAGGGACTTGCCAACAGGTACTTTTCCAGCTGACTTTGACTTCCTGAGCTCAAGCAATCCTCCTGCCCAAGTCTACTGACTAGCTGACATTATAGGCACCATCGTGCTCAGCTCCTATATACATTCTGATGCACTCCTGTTCCTCCAGCTGTCTAAGATAGGAAATAGTAAAAGCAATACATTGACATAATTTTTAAAGACTTTTGTAGCATCATACGGTTCATTTCACCAGTTTAACATTTCCAATCCCAATTTAAAATTTACTCACCATTATGAGGAGTAAATGACAAAACCAGGATGAAAATGATTTTGATCCAGAGTGAAAAGGGAAACATTATATAGTCTGTGAAACAAATATTTAATAGTGTTTATAACATTTCCTTTATAGATCAAAGAACAACTTCCTAGCTCTTCTCCTGATTCTTAATGATAATAATCTCTTGACATTATTTCTCTTTAATCTTAGAATAAGTAAGGCAAAGCATGCACATAGAAGGTCTCTTGGAGACTGAAAAGGCTCACTTTGCACATTTACAGTTTATTCCCTCCCCAAACTGTCTTACCCAGAAGACCAGCTGATTTGAAAGAAATATCAGTTTCTCCTAAACAACTAGAAACAATTGTTTCAAAAGGGGGGGGAGGGCTGTAGAAGCCCTAGTAACTGTTTTAGAAAGCAGGAGACCCTCAGATTATCTCTGCCTTACCTATCTGAAAGCAGGAAAGAAGATGGAGAAACCAGTGGCTCTGATGCTGTCTGTTTTGATGTCTTCTTCCCTTCTCAGTCACTGGGTCCACCTCCAGTCTTTATCATCCTTTTGGTGAAGAACTTGATTGGGAGTAAGATTGGTAGCCCAGTACAGATAACAGTCAGATATGCTATGTTTCACTGGAGGAGGCAACGTGCCTACTTCATCAGACACAGCTCATTTGTTTTTGAAAGACTTCCCGTCATCAGGGACAACTTGTAACAACTTGACCTGAAGCACCAGGAAGGGAGTGAGAATAAAATGAGTACTGAGAGATCCTGAGACAGATGTGAAAGTGTTCCAGACTACTCAGCTAGAAACAAAATAAAGGTGAAAAGAGAAAAATGATTGAAAAAATACTCACTTGAAGTTGTATTTGTGAAGAGTGAGGCTGAATGATCACTTTAACCAGGTTCCCAAATGGAACATTTGTAAATAAATAACACACATTTTAAAACAGCAGTAGATAACAGCTGGTGATCCAGTTCCACTACCAAGATTGTGAATTTTTTGATTGTACAAGAAGCTTGGGCTATGGTGTGTTTAAAAAGCTCCTAGCAGAGTTTCTGGGTAGCCAGCACTAAGGCATCCTGGCTAGAAGGTGAAGGCAGCGTGCAAACAACAGAAAAGAGAAAAGGAAGGCTCAGGAGAGAAATTGAGGCTGCAGTGGAAAGAGTTGTAAATAATATGCTAGTACTTTGATCTTTGCCTTATAGTCAGGTACGAGACACTGCAGGACTTGAAGTAGGGATTCATTGGAGCTTTTCATTAAAACTATTCAGATTCTGAGTTCCTGAAAGAACCTTGGCATTAAATGCCCCAGTTCAAATTCTGCCTGTGATGTGGTACACTATTCAGGTTTCATGTTCCATAACTTTTAATGTGAGAATAATTTATTTTGTTTTATTTATTATCTTTATTTAACGTGTATGAATGGATTGCCTGCATATATGTAAGTGCACCCATGTCATACAGTGCCCACAGAGATCAGAGAAGGGAGTTGGATTCCCTGAAACTGGAATTACAAATAGTTGTTAGCCACCATTTGGGTGCTGGGCACTGAACACAGGTCCTCTACAAGAGCAGCCAATGTTCTAAACTTCAGAGTCATCTCTCCAGCACCATAAGAATAATGTACAGCTCATAATTTTCTGATGAGCATTAAATAATTAAAACAGTTCTGACATGATCACTATAATTATGTTCCTACTCTTGCTCTAATCTGCCTAATATAGTGGTGAATAAAGCTATGATTTAGAAAAAAATTGAGTTCAGCAACATTTCTCAAATTTAGTAGGTGTGACATTTAAGGGGAAATTACACAAAAGTACAAGTTTGAAATTACTATGAAGCCCTTTTGTTACACTTATTTCTTATTTGTGTGGACACTATTCAAAGTCCTATCATTTATTTTTAAATATCTAATAATTCTTGCAAACCTTACTCAATGCCCTATAGATGCCTTATACATTGGAAATTGTTCCTACTGTCAAACTGCAACCTTGCACCCAATAATCATCCTTTCTCAAGTACCTTCACACATACACACACACACACACAGACACAGACGCACACACACACACACACACACACACACACACACACACACACACACACCACTTCTACCACCAGCAAACTACATTTATCTCTCCAAGACTCTGGAATGCACTAGTCTATTCTCTACTTTCTTGAGATCAGTCTTAGCCTGCTTCACAGGTCTGGGTTGACCAGTGTTTGGCAGGAGGTCCTCAGTAGCTTCATAGGGCTCTATGTCGATATGTTCTCACGATGATATTGTCCATCAACAGACTGAGTTGAAGAGGTAACAATGTGGTCTGAGTCTTTTCTCCAGGCTAATATAGTCATGTGGTAACCCTGCTCCTTAAACTTAGTTTAAGATCTGTAAATGTTTCCATCTGAATCTGCCTCTCCCTGGTGTGTATGGCATTAATGCAAGCTATAGAATCTGATGCATGCTTATACTATCTCAGCACAGCACATTCTCTTAGTTCAGGGATGTTCTAAAGAGACAGAATAATAGATTCTTATCTTGCTGAAATTATCACATATTCCATATACTTATTCAAGCTTTTAAAAATGATTTAAAGGGGCTGCAGAGATGGTTCAATGGTTAAGAGCACACTGGCTGCTCTTACAGAGGACCTGGGTTTGATTCCCACCACCCCCATGGTGGCTAACAGCCATCCATAACTCCAGTTCCAGGGGAATCCAAAGCTGTCTTCTGGCCTCCACAAGCATTGCATGAAATGGGTGTACTTACATACATGCAAGCAATACACACACACACACACACACACACACACACTTTTTTAAATGATTTTTTTTTATCTTTTTGAGACAGGGTCTCCCTGTAGCCCCAGCTGGCCTAGGCTGGCCTTGAACTCACAAAGATCGGCCTGCCTCTGCCTCCCAAGTGCTAGGATTAAAGGCATGCGCCACTATGCCCAGCTTTTATAATATTTTTTAAATGATTTAAAGACAACAGAGATATCCACTAGAGTGGTTATAATCTAAAAGGTAGGTAACAGTAAATGCTAATGAGGCTATAGAGGAAGAAGCACCCTCATATACTGCCAGGAAATTCATAAGGTACAATAATTGTGATACCTAATTCCAGTTGTTAACTTACTGAATAGAGATGCCTAGACAGTTGGTAAGACTTACTTCTAGATGTACCTTTGAGGGGATTTCCAGAGATTGGCACATCTGTCAGAAAACTGAGTGGTAAGACCCATCTGGAATGAGGGACAGTACCATCCACTATGCAGGAGGCCCTGGAGTAGAAAACAGAAGAAGAAGCTGGCTTTCACTTGTACCTAACTCTCTCTTACACCCTTCTCTCTAGAAGGTACATTTCTCTACTGCTGTTACCCATGAACATCAGATAGAGTTTGAATAGACACTCCAGCAGCAACTCAGGGGATTTCAGCCCATCTTCCTGAACTCAAGTTGTAACACCGGCCTCACTCATTCTGAGATACCTTACTTCTTGAGCTGCAGATAATGCTCCTAGCTCTCTGGTCTACTGAAAGTTATTGGGCTTTTTAGGCACAGCTAATAAATTTTCTCTCTCATTGAAATATATTCTATTGGTTCTGTCAGGAGAACTCTGACACCATTGCATTCGAAATCTGTTTGACATATTCTTTAACAGGTCTAGCATACCATACAACTAACTACCTTATGAACCATCTATTCCATTCCTAGAAGGACAAATCTTTTGTGAATTATTCAAGTTATGAAGGTTGCTTGTGTCTGCACTTTATTAAAAAGTCATTTGTACTATAAATAATATATTAACACCTGTATGAAAATTTCTTCAATACACCAATTCATAAAAAGAATGAACAGTCAAGTTTTCTGTTCAAATTTTTTGGGCCAAATTGTCATGTTTTAAATTGCATTAAATTTCTTCTACCTCTTTTCCCATTTAACTAAATATGGCATTAATGTTTATCTAACACAATTCTTCTTATACAAACTAAGTTATGATGTGGGAAATTTTTTCAAAAAGCTCTTGTAGAGAACAGTCACAAAATGTTGCAGAATTTACATTCATTGATGTAATTTGACCAATAGATTTAAGTTCCTTAAGAAAAATATTTTGGTTTTGATTATATTGGATACAGAGTTGACATATGATAAGGTTTCATGTAATAGTGCTGCCTCTATAAAACTATACGTAAAGAGGGATGCTAGGGTGATTCAGTGAAGGGACTTTCTGCCAAGCCTAAAAATCTGAATTCCATACTTAGGACTCATATGGTAGAAAGAGAAAATCAATTCCTACTAGTTGTTCTCAGACTACACACAGAGCTGTGACATACAAACACACATGTATACATAAAGAAATGGATTATTAAATAAAATGTAATAAAATTATATATGAATGTATATACCAGTGTTCAGTGAAGACTTTCTATATATTTACACCAAAGGATATCTGGGTATAGATGCTTGACTGAATAGGAATTAACATGTATGGTAGAATACATGAGGTCTGGTGGGGAAACAAGGGGCTATGGATGTTGGAGGGGTCTAAATTTGATTAAGAGCTGCTATACCAAATTACAAAATCTCAGTTTGAAAAAGGAAAAAGATCAGCTCCTTTATAGAAGGATTCATGGGTCAGTCTGCTAGTATAAAATCAAATTCCCTCTCCTCACCTAAGTTAGGCTGTGGTCTCTGCTATTTCCTTTCTGGAGGTCCCCAGTGAGATCAAGTCTCCTACTCTTGTTGGTAATACAGGCTGCCCCCTCAGCCCCTGGAACAGAGAAGTGTGCACCCTTGAAGAATTTCCTCTCTAGGGTCTCCTTCCAGGTGACCAGAAATCACTGCATAGCCCTGGCCAGAGCCTTTCACTAGATAAAATGAGTAGGAGACCTGGAATGGACGTCCAGATGAGGAAATGGGCCCTAGGTTAGACAGATGGAACCTGGTGAGGGCTGATCCCCAACAGGAGGCTGCATGCAAAGTCTTGAAGTGATTCCAAGATGGCACTGGCCTCCAGTCAGGAAAGAAAGGGCACCACAACTAAACCTTTAGGTGATTCTGAGGTGCTGGTCCCATTTGTTAAGGTTCAGAAAGCCCTGCCCCATCACCAGCAGGATCCCAAGGACTGCTCATGCTCCTGAGAAAAGGAAACCTAGCTGATAAGCACCTTGGTCTTTGAAGTCAAGAGAAGCAGACTTTTCTCCACTGTTTGGCCAACACAGCAGGCTTCCCCTTTGATCTCTAAAGAGGACAGGTTTTAACTGTCCTGCTCTCCCACTCCCCCCCCAACTTAAAAAGAAATACATCTTCCCGCCTTCTGCAGGAGGCAGAAGCCTCCCTTTTAAAAGACCCCAGCTCAAGACCCAGGCAGAGATTTTCCCTGCCCAGAAGGGAATCTGACCCATGTGTTCCTTTGCTAATAAACCCTATTTTGATGGAGTTTTAGCTGTGCCTCGGTGCCTCATCATCCATTCGCTCATTCTCCACCAACTTTTTGCCTATCACCATTTAAGTAAACAAGAATCAGGCAGGAAACCTGGCCACCACTAAACCTCAATGTGATTCTGTGGTCCTGGCCACATTTTAGGTAGAACAAGAATTTAGTGGGAATAACTAGGGAACAACTGTCTTAAGCTCTGAATGATTCTGTGTGAAT